AACAGAGAATTCTCAACAGAAGAATCTCAAATGGCTGAAAGACATTTAAGGAATTGCTCAAAATCCTTAGTTATCAGGGAAATGAAAATCAAAATGACTCTGAGATACCATCTTACACCTGTCAGAATGGCTAGGATCAAAAACACTGAAGACAGCTTATGTTGGAGAGGATGTAGAGCAAGGGAAACACTCCTACACTGTTGGTGGGAATGCAAACTTTTATAGCCACTTTGGAAATCAGTATGGCAGTTTCTCAGAAAATTGGAAATCAATCTTCCTCAAGACCCAGCTATACCACTCTTGGGCATATACCCAAGTAATGTCTATCATACCACAAGGAGACATGCTCAACTATGTTCATAGCAGCATTATTTGTAATAGCAAGAACCTGAAAACAACCTAGATGTCCTCAGCTGAAGAATGGATAAAGAAAATGTGGCACATATACACAATGGAGTACTACTCAGCTGAGAAAAACAATGACATCATGAAATTTGCAGGTAAATGGATGAAACTAGAAAATATCATCCTGAGTGATATAACCCAAACTCAGAAGGACAAACATGGTATGCACTGATTCATAAGTGAATACTAGATGTAAAGCAAAGGATAACCAGACAGCAACCCAGAGCTCCAGGGAGGCTAGCTAGTAAGGAGGACCCTAGGCAAGACTCATGGATTACCCAGCAAAGGAGAGATAGATGAGATCTACATGAGCAACCTAGGTATGAGTGGGAGGTAATAGAGGGCAAGGAATGGGGCATGAGAACATAGGGGAATGGGAGTTTTGAGCTGGGACAGGAATAGAGTGGGAGAGCAAGGAAAGAGATACCATGATAAATGAAGACATCATGGGAATAGGGAGAAACAGAGTACTAGGGAAGTTCCCACGAATCCACAAGAATGACCCTACCATAGATTACTGATAATAGTCAAGAGAGTGCCTGATGAGCCTACTCTGGTTATCAGATGGCTGAATACCCTAACTGTCATCATAGAGCCTTCATCCAGTGGCTGAATGAAGCCAATGCAGAGATCCAAGGTTGGGGCCCAGGCCAAGCTCCAGGAGTCCAATCAATTAGAGAGGACAGGGATTCTATGAGCAAGGGACATGGAGACCATGATGGGAAAAAGTACAGGGACAACTAGCCAAACTAGTGGAAACACACGAACTGTGGACCAATAGATGTGGAGCCCCCTTGGTAATGAACTAGGCCCTTTGGATAGACAAGACAGTTGTTCAGCTTGAACTATTTAGGGGGCTCCCAGGCAGTGGGATTGGGACCTGTCCCTAGTGCATGAGCTGGCTTTTTGGAGCCTGGTGCCTATGGTGACATACTTTGTGCAGCCTTGGTGCAGGGAGGGGGGCTTGGACCTGCCTCAGTTGAATGTACCAGGCTCTGCTGACTCCCCATGGGAAATCTTGCCTTGGAAGAGGTGGGAATGGGGGGAAGGATTGCGGGCAAAGCTGGAGGGCAGGAGGAGGGAGGATAGGGGAATCTGTAGTTGCTATGTAAAATGAATAGAAAATCTGTAATAGAAAAATAAGAGATAGTAAAGGTATTATAAAAAAATAAGCCACAAAAAAGTTGGATATTACACAGAAAAACAAACAAACAAAGTCCTTTGCTAACAAACAGGGCCAGTCAGGCAGAGCCTGATCACCGTGCAGCTGGAAAATGCTAAAATTTCATCTGTCTCTGTGTGTCTTCTTTCCATGGAACCTCCTGAACCCAAACCTGATATACAACTATGTGACACTGGGGAGCCTCAGTAAAGCCATGAGATGCTTACAACACTTTGAACATGAAGGAAGAAAGACTTCCTAGCAAACTCTCTTCAGAAGGAGGCAGGTGAGGTACACAGACAGGGGCAGCACTTTTCCCATTGCCAGGGCATCACGAGGAACAACAGTCAGTTCTGTGTATTTGTGCTCAGATCATACTGTGCATAAGCTTCCTTTATTTTCATGAACTATTTTTATTACATTCTATGACACATCCACTGTGTGGCATGGGTTCATAACTTTTAATTACATAGGATTTGATTGTTTGATGACACTGATATTTTCATTTTCTCTCTCCAACAAAGGTCCTCATGAATCAGTTTCCAAGACTTAAAAAAGCCTTCACATTTCAAGCTGGAGAAATTCACACAGGACCTTGGTCATACAGGAGTGATGATCTGTAGGGCAGGCAGGTGACATTGGGGAGGAATGTTGTCACTTTGGTAGCTGCATGTGCCCCTTGATGTACATTAGATGCCTGACTGTCTAATCTACTGGGGGCCACATCCTGACACCATGCACACCTAAGACATCTGTGTCCTAACAGTGCTGAGTCAGCTGCCTTGGGGGCTGGACACAGCCTGGAGGTCCACAGAGCCTCTGTCACCTACAGTTGATGCAGATGGCCCAGACCAGCAGCAACAGGGAAAGACCCCTGTCTTTCCCCTCCCCTGCTGAAGTCCACTCAGGACCTGCAGTCAAACCAAATGTGGAAGGAGTCAAGACCCTGCTCCATCTGCAGGTTAAAGCCCCGGGAACATGGGAGGGCTGAGCTCAGGAGTGTGGCCTGATGAGCAGACGACACTGTGTGACCAGAGGATGGAATGGAACACTATCATGACATGGAAACTCGATCAGAAAACTTTATCCCACAAAAAAGTACAGAGCAATTTGGCTGCAGGATCAAGAGTTCTGAGGTGGATCGATCTTCTTCCCTGTTGTGCATCGTCAACTACACAGTTTACACTTCACAGATGTGTGCAGTTTAAGGCAAGGTGTCACTCTCTAAAGTGTAACATTTGTCCCACAGTGGTAATATAAATATTCTCATTTTCATCTAAGCCATTTGTATCTGTAGATCATTCTATAATTTTTAGGTCACTATTTAAAGTGAAACAAATTGAACTGAACATTGAACAGAATGCAGTTCCAATGAACATGGCTTCTGACTGACAGAAGAAGACAGCCATGACATGATGGGAATAACACAAAATGGCACATGACGGATTGAGGGATGGAGCCGCAGGGTCGGTCTGTAACATACTAGTAAGGGAAACTGAACTCAAGCTTTGGAATCCACACTTATAAAGATAACAGGTTACAAAAACTACTGACAGTTTATATGAACAGATAGAGACAGAGACAGAAACAAAGAGAGAATGAGAGGGAATAGAATTCTGCATAGTGAACAAGGGCCTGAGAATACAATAACTAACTCATGTTGGACCAGATTCCCATTTATGATGGTGATAGTCCAGGCTATGGTTAATACTGGCTATGACTTTCCACTTTAACAAAACTGAAGGGTAAATGAGCCTGTGGCAGAGGTTTCTGTCACCATCCCTGGCTCACTTAGTTACATTCTTCCTTAAAGTGCCACAGGGGAGTTATTAACACAATCTTTATCCAGGAATGAGCAGGGTCCAGCCAAGGATGACGTCCCTTGCCTCCTGTTCCTTCTGCACTTAACCAGTCACTGTCCCTTGGCTTCTATGACCCAGGCTGCAGCTGCATCTGATGGTGAGTGAACCTGACAGGAGAGAATGCCCAGTACAGGGTGGACCTAGACAGTCTGTTTGTTCTTCAGGAGGTTTGTTTTATGACAGTCTGTTTGTTCTTCAAGAAGTTTGTTTTATCATTTATTGTCTCATTTGTATGTGAAAGAAAAATATTCTGCCTTCTTTTCTCTCATTTCTGGTGTATTGAGACAGGGTTTCTCTGTGTAGCACTGGCTGTCCAGAACTTGCTTTTTAAACTAGGCTGCCCTTGAATTGAGAGATCTACTAGCCTTTGCCTCCCTAGTGCTGGATTAAAGGAATGCACTACCACACCCAGCATCTTCCTAAAGCTTCCCTTTAGCGATTCTTACTGAGATTTTTTTCTAAGTTACCAATGAAGGAATATGTGTTAAACACACACACAGACACACACACACACACATACACACACACACACACACACACACACGCATATGCACACGCACACACACACATGCACACACACACACACACACATGCACACACACACAGCAAACTTACCTTGATTTCAATGCTGACCACCTACGCCAGTCTCACAAGTGATAAGATTGCAGTAGGCATCTGCCAACACCCCACCCTTCCCTCTGTATTTTTGGTGTTTGTATTACAATCCATTAGTTTTCCAAAATTTTCTTTTTTGATGTTTATTTAACTTTAATTGTGGGTAATAACTGGGCATTAAATAATGTCAAGAATTCTTAATTTTATTCATGTCTCATAAAAACAGATTGTGGGTGATCTAAACACAAACTATACATTTTCCTAGGGAAATGGTGTTTCCCATAGAACCCAGGCAGGTACCCACTCTGTGCCTACTCATAGGTTAAGCGTTTATGCTGTGTGTTATTGTGTGATGTGAGGCAGATGCCCTGAGACCCTGAGCTTCTCCACTGTAAGGAGAAAACGTGGTGACTCCTGTGGAAGCACAGGGTGGTTCAGGGATGCTGCTGGCTGAGGAGGATGCTTTGTGATTTCTCTGCCTTCACCGTGAGTAATACCCAGTGTTAACATGCACCAAGCTCTTCACATGAAATCAAACTCACAGAATATGTAAGGGCAAGCCAGCTGCTGGTCCTGAGCCTTGTGCAGACATCACCTTCCTGATCTCCCTGCTCTCTGGGTGCCTTGATGCCAGTGTTCCCCATTTAACAGAGTGTGCCACCTTCCCAGCACACTTCCTGCCCCTCACCTGCCTCCTGACCTTCACTCACCCAGCAAACACTGGTCAGGGATTCTCATAGACTGTGGCAGCTTCCCTGGTCCTTGCTCTCTGTGTCCACAAATATGAATTAAGTCAGCAGGCAACCTTAAGGTGAATGAGGAAAGCTTAAATTTTAGAACATGTGTAAGTTTCCTTTCATGAACAAGACTTCTTAAGATGAAAATCCATCATTTGTCTTCCTATCTCACAGTCTATTCATCTGTCTGTATCTCTGTCCATCTCCTCCCATAGGTCTCGGGTTTTTCTGACATTGATATGAAAGCATCAAGGACCCAGCATTTTTCTCTCCTCCATCAGCAGCTTGGCAGAACATGGCCCTTTAAGGACTTCAGTTTCAGGTGTGTTTTGTGTTTTGTTTTTAGAATCCTGACAGAGATTAAAATGATCCTGAGACTTGTGATTGCTGTCTCAGCAGCTCCTCCCTTTAACTATTCCTCACATCTCAGAAAGAGAAGATTTAATTTCCTTTCTTTTTTTTTTATTTGTTTGTTTGGATTTTTTGAGACAGGGTTTCTCTATGTAGCTTTGAGCCTTTCCTGGATCTCACTCTGTAGACCAGACTGGCCTGGAACTCACAAAGATCCGCCTGCCTCTGTCTCCTGAGTACTGGGATTAAAGGCATGCGCCACCACTGCCCGACTTAATTTCCTTTCTATTGTTAAGAGCTATCAAAATGCAGTATCTACTATTCAGAAATAAAAAAAAAAAACTTTACAAATCTCCTCTCTTTGAGAAGTACCTGTGGAAGAGGCGTTCACTGAGCATTGTCAAAAAGGCTGGCTACATTCTGTCTGCTGCTGTTTCTCACTCTGTTGTCTCTGTTTAAACCTTCAAATTTAATTCAGATATGTACTATTTTCCCAGCACAGATGGACACGTACCTTGTTTAATGCAAAGTTAATGTGTCCTTGAATAGACAGACAGACAGAAAGACAGACAGACAAATACACACACACACACACACACACACACACACACACACACACACACACATGCAAATATATATATTTGCATCAAACATAGAGGCAGGCTGTGAGCATGGAGCCGGAATAATATCAGGGATATGTCATGGCTGTCTTCTCTCTACTTCTCAGACTCCATGAAGAAGTGGCTGACAGTCCATAGAGATGCTGCTGCCACAGCCTGGCCTGGCAACCAGCAGTGACTGCTGAATCCTCTGCCTCTTGCTGAAGTTAGAGCCAGTGGTGGACCCTGTGAGGAGATCATCTTGGAGAAGCAGAGACCAGGAAAGGGTGAGACTTCACATTATCTCAGTCTAACCAGCATTAGAAGAGCAAGCATGTCCTATGTAATGCTCTATCTATATTTTCATATGACTATGTTTATGTGAGTGTATATTGAAAGAACATTTATCTAGCAAAATACATATGTAAGAAATTTCTTTTTTATTACTATTTTTCTTTTTTATTTTTATTTCTTATTTTATACTTTAATTTAATTTTCCATATCAGTCATGGATACCCCTGTCCTCCCTCTTCACAACCCCCCCACTCCCATTTGCCCACCCCCCACTCCCATCTCCTCCAGGGCAAGGAATCCCCTGGGGATTCAGCTCAGCCTGGTAGATTCAGTCAAGGCAGGTCCAGTCCCCTCCTTCCTTCACCTAGGCTGAGCAAAGTGTCCCTGCATAGGCCCGTGGCTCCAAACAGCCAGCTCATGCACTAAGGACGGGATCTGGTCCCACTGCCTGGGGGGCTCCCAAACAATTCAAGTTAATCAACTGTCTCACTTATCCAGGGGGCCTGATCCAGTTGGGGGCTCCTCAGCTATTGGTTCATAGTTCATGTGTTTCCACTAGTTTGGCTATTTGTCCCAGTGCTTTTTCTAATCACGGATGGAGACTATGCATTTTTCAATTATAATCTTGTACCATATTACTTTAAAATCCACATTATTTGATGAATATGAAAATGGAGAGTGCATCTCATAATGTGTTAATATTAAAAGCAAATTCAAAATGATTCTTAAGAATAACTTTATTCATTAATTTTCTTAATGTGTTTGCTTATTTACTTTTGATTTTAATTGGTTTGTTTGTTTGTTTTGTTTTGGTCAGTGATTCACTTTTTTTGTTAGTAGCAAATAATTACCCTGAAAATTTCAAGAACTTTTTGATAGAGGACAATATTTTTCATCAGGAAAAAAATCATGACCATGAACCATGGTATCTTAATTCTGAGTTGTAATGGCTATAAAAACAGGTGTGAATTCTTGATTTTTTAAATGGCTTAATATATGTAGCTTATCATTCTGAGATCTTTAGGCCGAGGGCACATTCTCAATACATTAGGCTTGTGCATATATCAGTAAGTAGCCACTAACTCCAAACAATACTTGCCTAGGAGACACCCATGGACATCAACACCTGGATGAGCAACTACACTGGACAGTCAGATTTCACCCTGGTCAGATTCTTCAGTCAATCCAAACAACCTGCCCTGCTTGCTATGGTCATATTTGTGGTTTTCCTGATGGCCTTGTCTGGGAATGCCCTCCTGATCCTTCTGATACACTCTGACACCTGCCTCCACACACCCATGTACTTTTTCATCAGCCAGTTGTCCCTCATGGATATGATGTACATTTCTGTCACTGTGCCCAAGATGCTCATGGACCAGGTCCTTGGGAACCACAAGATCTCAGCGGCTGCATGTGGGATACAGATGTTCCTGTACCTGACACTAGGAGGTTCAGAATTTTTCCTTTTGGCTGCCATGTCTTATGATCGCTATGTGGCCATCTGCCATCCACTCCGTTATCCTGTCCTCATGAACCGTAGAGTGTGTCTCCTCCTGATGTCTGTCTGTTGGTTCCTGGGATCCCTGGATGGCTTCATGCTCACTCCTGTCACCATGACCTTCCCATTCTGTGGATCCCATGAGATCCATCACTTCTTCTGTGAGGTTCCTGCTGTGACAAAGCTCTCCTGCTCAGACACCCAGCTCTATGAGACCCTCATGTACCTGTGCTGTGTGCTCATGCTTCTCATCCCTGTGACAGTCATCTCAAGTTCCTATTCATGCATCCTCCTCACTGTTCACAGGATGAACTCAGCAGAGGGCAGGAAGAAAGCCCTGGCCACCTGCTCCTCACACATGACTGTGGTCATCCTCTTCTATGGTGCTGCTGTCTACACCTACATGCTCCCTGCCTCCTTCCATACCCCTGAGAAGGACATGGTGGTGTCTGTGTTTTACACAATACTCACCCCTATGCTGAACCCACTGATCTACAGTCTGAGAAATAAGAATGTCACAGAGGCCCTAAAGAAACTGTTTGGTGTGGAACACTCTTTCAAGAAACAGTAAAGTAAGTAATTTGGAATGGACAGTTTCTTCTCCTTGTCCCTACACATCTGTTGATCTAGGTCTCATGCTGACTTTATTCCTCATCCATCATGTCTGATTGCATAATCAGAGCTTTTGAAGAATTCTTTCTCTATTCTGAAAATTTCTTCATTGATATACTTCTTGTACATTTAACATTTTCATTTGCATCCTTTCAATGTTACGTTTTATGAATTGATAGTGGCTGTTTAATTTTGTTTAACAACAGTCTTATCATTCCAAAGATATATTATATTGAGAAATAAATGGTCCTGAGATGCTCAACTGATAAAAGATAGAGTAAGTTGAAAGAAGAGTGGTTAATCAGAAGTGAATGGAGATAAATGGCATATTAAATTAATTCTGTGTGTTTCCCTATAATTTATGTATATTTCAAATATGATAAAAATAAAGAGCAAGATACAGTTTTATCCTTCAGCTCCTTTGTGTGGTATAATAAATATAGTGGTCCAAAGAAATTAAAATCTGGGTAGTATAAGTGGCCCAGAGTGTTTCAAATTTTCAGCAGAGCTGTATTAGCATGTAAATGTACTCGTGTATGCCTCAAAAACCAAACACAGCTCTCACTTCAAGGGAATGAGGTATAGCTTATCCTTGAGTCTAATGTGAGTGACCATGGCCTAGGAACATGGACTCAGGTTGTCCCAATGACATGGTCCAAAGTTTTATGGAAAGTTACAGAGCACACACAAGTCATAAGTCTTAACTCAAGGCATTTTTCAAATTCACTTGTGGAGACATCAGGGGTTCAGGTTGTAGGAAGGTGTGCTATTATTTTCAGATGTTGTTGGTGACATGGAAAGCTTCTACTTTGAGTAAGGCATTCTGATAATCAATACATTCCAGAAGATTTCACCTGATAGATACAGGGGTGCTGGCTCAGAAACTGAAGCTGGCAATGAATGACTCCTATGGGTGCTTTAGACACTTGGGGTTATTTGGCTTTGTACTTTAATGTTCTAACACTCCATAAGAACTCCATGTGTGTTCTAATCAGTTTGCCAATCTTGCAGAATTTATTTTTGTTTTTGTTTGCTTGTTTAGGGAATATTATTTTAAGGAGTGCTAGTTCTGTTTATGTTATATTTGTTTAACTCTATGAAGCTGTGTTGCTGTGCCTGTCTAAAATACCTGCTGGTCTAATAAAGAGCTGAATGGCCAAGAGTGAGGCAGGAGAAAGGATACGAGAGAGGGCCTGGCAGGCAGAAAAAATATATAGAAGGAGAAATCTGGGAGGAAGAGGAAGGAGCAAGAGAGGAAGGAAGAGGACCTTAGGAGCCAGCCACCCAGCTACACAGCCAGCCACAAAGTAAGAATAAGGGTAAGATTTACAGAAGTAAGAGAATGGGAAAAGCCCAGAGGCAAAAGGTAGATGGGATAATTTAAAGTTAAGGGAAGTTGGCAAGAAACAATCCAAGCTATGACTGGGCATTTATAATTAAGAATATGCCTCTTTGTGTGATTTATTTGGGAGCTGAGTGGTGGGCCCAAAAAAAAGATTTGATTGTTGTCTGTTTGTTTAGTTTTGTTAATCTTTAACAAATCTATGGTTTTGTCCTCTGGGAACTTCAGTGTAGTGTCTCCTGTTGACCAAGCTTCACATTCAGTGCATGAAGAGGCTATGTGTTCTCTTATAACCTGTGGTGAGAAAGCTCATTCCTAGGAGTCAGGGCAATCAGGGCGGCAGTCTTTAGGAGAGAGAGGTAGCTGCCTAAGCCATTCTTATCTGGGACTGATTTGTTCCCATTCTCTGTATCTGACACAACATTTACATGTGACATGTTACAGGAATGTTATACGAAATTAAATTATCAAGAATACAGTAAAGAAAGTAAAAATAGCAAATGAGAGAAATGGTTTCTTAATTGATATAAACTAAAATCATCTTTCAACCAGGCTTTCTATATTTTTCCCCTCTGCCATTTAGTTATTTGTATTTTATGTATTATTTTATTTGATGATTAGAATATTTGAAATAATTTAATTTCTCATAACTCTGCTTTTTTTGGCCTGTCTGGTTTCATAGCTGTAATTTCATAGGGAATGGCTAGTTCTAATTTTAAGAAAGATTGTTCTTCAGTTTCTAAATGTTTGTCACTCCTATTTATAGGTCATATTTTGATTTGTTTTGTTACATTAATATTACATCAGATTGAGGTTTTGAGAGATAAATATAAATCTACCTTGTAGAAGAAATCAGATGACAACAACAACATGGTATATTTTGAATTCTTTCCTAACTGTCTTTTCCCCATGTACCATATATTATTGTGGATAAGGATAGAAAGAAGAAGACAAATTCATGAGAAGCTGGAATTCCATAGGTTATTTGTGGACATAACTCATTCATTTATGTCACAATCAGAAAGGGAAATACTGTTTTTTATCTTTTTTATTTTATTTTACAATACTATTCAGTTCTACATGACAGCCACAGATTCCCTTGTTCTCTCCCTTCCTGCCCCCCTCCCCTTCCCCCCAGCCCCCCCCCCCCCCCATTCCCATCTCCTCCAGATCAAGGTCTCCCCCGAGGACTGAGATTGACCTGATAGACTCAGTCCAGGCAGGTCCAGTCCCTTCCTCCCAGATTGAGCCAAGCGTCCCTGCATAAGTTCCAGGTTTCAAACAGCTAACTCATGCAACGAGACCTACCCTGGTGATGGGATGGCCAAACACCCTAAGAGTTGTGTGAGAAACCCCATCCAAGGACTGAGGAATCTGGATGCAGACATCCACGGCTAGGCCCCGGGTAGAGCTCCGGGAGTCTAATTAGTGAGAAAGAGGAGGGTTTATATGAGCGAGAATTGTTGAAACTAAGGTTGGATAAAGCACAGGGACAAATAGCCAAACGAATGGAAACACATGAACTATGAACCAAAGGCTGAGGGGCCCCCAACTGGATCAGGCCCTCTGAATAGGTGAGATAGTCGATTGGCTTGATATGTTTGGGAGGCATCTAGGTAGTGGTACCAGGTCCTGGGCTCGTTGCATGGGAAATACTGTTTTTAAAGTGATGTACTATTCCTTTGTAATACTTTCCACCTCCAGAACCAGTCATTGTCTCGAGGTCTTTTCTCAAAGCAAACCTCATTTCTGAAGGGTAAGTACATGTCAGCTCCTTTTCTGAAGCAGCCACTACTGTTCCTTTCTTATATCTAACAATTTCACCTAAACATACCATCAATTCTACACCCAGCTATCCTGGGTTCATCACTCTAATGTCTCACTGTAGAGGACAAAAGAGTCCAGTAGATGGAGCCTAGTGTAAGTCTATCACGAAATTCTAGTGGACTTCAATTGGATATCTAGAAACATCATGTGTGCTGGCTCCTCCTGGTTCCTTGCCTAGGTCTTGTGATGCTAATAGTGCTTCTCATGCACTTTTGTGCTGTTTAAGATAAGTTGGAGGCCAGATTCAATGAAGAATTCAGATCTGTCATTGCCCCAATTTCATATCATCCATGGAATTTCTCAAATGCTAACTGAAAAAGATACCTGCTGTTAACTACTGGCAGACACATGCACAGGAAAACATGCACACATACAGCCACACATACATGTGTACCCACAATTATGCAAACACACATACAATACATATATTTCACATATTCAAACAAGAACAGAATTAAAACAGATCCCCCATGTGACCACTTCTCTCTATTTACCTGCAGACCTTGAAGTCATCACACCACAGAGATTTGTGTGCTTCATTGTTGATCACACTGCTGGTCATAGTAGTTACATTATGGGCCCATCCTAGTCTGTTTGGCCACAGGGCAATGCATAATATAGAAAACTGGACCTACACACAATGTAATTTTTTTCAGCCATAAATAAGAACAAGCTTATGTGCTGTTTGAAAATATTACATACAGCATGCTATCTAAATTGCTGTATCTTCGAAATGAAAAAATAAGCTCTTTATGAATATGCTTCTGTCTATTCTATATGTATACCTAAGCTTTACAGGGTTTGAGTTTTGCTAACTAGAATTTTAATGTGAAAATTAAATTAACATGAAAGTTATACACTAAAATCTTTATTGAAACATGAGTTTGCAATAATTTCAGTAGCTACTACTAAATCATATTATTGTTTGGTCTCAGATGCAAGTTAAATTCCCAAATTGAAGTGGAGTATATACCTTTAAACTCAAACTCAGATTTCCTGTAGAAGATCATAGCAAAAAAATGAAAATCAATCTATATTTGTCATTACAAAATAAAAATACCAAACATTTAAAATCATCTTTTAAAAATGAAAGGGCAATAGGAATTATGAAAATATATATTACCATAAATGTAATAACTAAAGTTAATACGTGTATGGGAGAACTAGTTTATAAATAAATATAAGAAATAAAAAACAATATTAAGACACAGCCAAAAAACTAAAAAGGAAAATCATTACAGACAGATCAAAAGTCACAAATAAATACCTGAAATGGTAGGAATGGTACAGTGGTGCAACACCCTCTGATGTTATGGCAAGGGTATTTTTGAGTTATTTTCTCAGTTATATGAAATTACACAAAAACAATTTAGCACTGAGCTCAGAATATTTTCTATGAAAGTCCAGATGTGGTGGAACCTGTCTTTAATGTCAGTACTCAGGAGGCAGAGGCAAGTGATTCTCTGTGAGTTTAAGGTCTACATAGGGATGTCTAGGTATACTTAGAGAGGTTTGATTTCAATATTCAAAACCAAAGCAAGACAGAGAATATTAAATTTGAGCAATTTACTTCTTTTATTAATTAACAATGTTCATAAAAGTCTGCTGACCACACCACTCCCCTCCTGTTAGTCCCCTCTGTCCCCTGGACCATTTCACTTCAATTTATTTGTCATCTGTACACACATGATTGATGTGTCTGCATACAATTTAGGAACCACAAATGACTGAAAATGTGATATTTGTGTTTCTGAGACTGCCTTAATTCACTTAATATGGTTTTCCCCAGTTGAGTCCATTTGTTCTGCAAGTAACATAAGTTTGTTCCTATTTATGGCTGAAATAAAAATCC